TTTTAACCTATAAAACAGTGAAATAATAAAAATACAAATAAGCCTGGATTCATAATTGGCATCCATTTCATGGTAAAAGCAATACAACAGGACAAAAGTAATCAGAGAAACAGCCGGTGTCAATACTGAAGACTTAAGTATTCCTTTTCAGTGAGTGGCCATATTACTGTAGTATCAGCTCATACTCTACCAATTTATTAATGTAATTTGTGTCTTGTGGCTATGTCAAGCATGGTGAGATTTTTTGCTTTGTTTTGGGTTTTTGGTTTTCTTCAGGGTTGAAATTTATGATCCTGTTCCACCAGACTTGTGCAGAACAATACAGGAACAACTGGCTCATGCAGGTGATCCAGCAGCTAATTCCCACAGAAGTGGTGGTCTGGATCACACTGTGCCTACTAGACGTTTTCCATGAGCAGGATTGAAGGGTCAACCGAAACTTTGTGAAAGACAATGCAAATCCTTTAACAGCAAACTCTGGGAAAATACCCAGTCAAGCAAGCAAGCAAGGAACCAACCAACAAACCCTAACGACCAGAAAAATTCCCACCCAACACAATACACCAGGATCAGTTCCGTGTACCGTTAAGGAGCCAAATCATGCGGCTGGCAGCCTGTCCTGCTGCAGCGGGCAGCCAGCGAGGAGCACTGTGGACAGAATGCTGGCTCCTGGTGTGGCGTGCTCAGCTGGGGTGCGCGTCCTGCACCGCCCTGTGCTTGGCAGCACGTCGGGACGCCAACACGCGCTTCTCTGCATAACACCCCTCTTCTGCTGCCGGGGCAAAATAATATTAAGAGATGAGTCTGAAGAACAAAAGCATTTCGAAAAATACTTGAGCTTTTTCAGAGATAGGTCATCCATAATAACCTCGACATACAAACAGGTAGAAGGAAAGAAGTTTCTAAAATTCCACATAAATTAGTGAAAAAACAGGGGGTTAACTCTTCCCTGGTCATTAGTCGGCACCTTAGCACCTTGGCGGGCACCTTTTGCTTTGAAATAAGTAACACTGAGAAACATTCAGAAGATGATTTGTCAAAACTACACACACTGGAACAAATTAATATCTGTTGAAGGAAATTTCAAATACTGGATGTTATTCATTTAACAGCAGAGAACAGCAGATACATTTTATTTGGGTTTTTTCCCTCTTAAAAAAATCAAAAATAACCAACCAAAAAAAAAAAAAAAAAATCCCCCCCAAAACCAAAAAACCAAACCAAAAAAAAACCCCAAACCCCAACCAAAAAAGAAAAAAAAAAAAAAAATAAAAAAACCACCAAAACCCAAACAAAACCAGCAAACAATAACCTGATTAGGAGGGTATACTGGAAGGATAATTTGCTCAACTCAGACATACTGACAGCCTCTAAATTTACTAGAAACATTCACAAACAAGATGTACTTCTCAATAGCACTGTGCAAATATCTTCTTAATGCACAATAGCAACCAAAAAACACTCACAAGATATCCCATTGGTTAAGATGGGAGGCTTACTAGTTATGAAAATCCTATGATGTTGCTATACACAATCTTCTGTTTTACTGTCATGTATCAAGTTCAGATACCATTTGGAACCTGTCAAAACATCACAGAAAACCTTTCTTAGGCAGAAAAGACAGAGGAAAGTGACAATAAATATCTTTAGGCATGTGGAAGGAAGAAATTGAAAACTGCAATAGATCAGTGGAAAGAATGTTATGGACATGATTAAACATAGTGGTAGTTTCCAAATCTTTACTGTCTTATGGGTAAGAATACCAAAGACACAAGGTGTTTTATACCAGCTTTTCTCCCTCTGTTAGTCTCACTTTTAATTTCCTGTGGCAGTAAGCAACATCAAAATGTCTCACAGGCAATGGGTTGCTATGAGCCATGCACTGGAGACTACTTGAATAGAGGAATATGAGATTAGTGCTATAGGGAAGCTTATCAGGAAGTGTCTGTCCAGGATTAGGTAACAGTATGGACAGTATCTATGGATAATAATTACCTGCATAGGCTATAAAGATTTCTGTCATTTACTGATAGTTGTTATTAGGATAAAATATTTATAAAGGATGTTTCACATTTCAAAACAGAAGCCAACCATTATGAAATTGAGGTCTGGAAAGAAATTTCCTCATAGGTTTATTATCATGTAATTATCCATAATGGGGTTCTTCTGACTTCCACTAAGTCATGAAGCAAATGAGTAAAACAGTGTATAATGGCTATCTGCTGATGCCATATTCAGTACTAGATAGCTCATCCATTAAAAAATCTGAAGTTATTTATTCTGTAAAGATTTGAAATCCAGTTATACCAATAGAAGTGGTACGTGCAGATTACAGTTATGGTTTGTGGGGTGTCTTGTCTCATTAGAAATGCAAAATTAAATGACAGTTCTGCATTTGAGGTATACACTGTGTTCACGCATTTTATACCGAGCATATAAAACAGTTAAGAAAGTTTAGTCCAACTTCTTCTACTGCAAACTGTTACAGTTTTTATTAGAACAGTGTGCCCTCAGTTTTGGAGAGGACATTGATTCAGTTTACCTACAGGTTGGAAGTCATTGATCTGTTCCTAACCTTTTTTCAAGACGTGATTCCTGGAGATGATTGCTGTGGATTTGGGCACAATGTACAAAACATCCAGCAAGTATTTCTTGTGAGCTTTACCATACTCACCATCACTCTTTTGGACTCTGGCATTTAGAAGAAAACCCTAGTATTTATCTCAAAAACCCTAATAATTATTTTCTTGAAGTAACCTCCCTCCCTTTTTTGTTACTTGTTGTCTCTGTAATTCAGTGTTGGCACTTTAGAAATCTTAATTGCATGTAATATTAATACATCTGGGACCAGTACACAATACAGGTGAATACATAGATACACTTGTATACATACAGGTTTTGAAAGAGAGAATATGCTTTGAGTGAAATATAATCTCTTCTTAGTCTCTGAAACGACTCAATTTTGACTAGAAATCATCGACTTTTAGTCAAATTTGACTAAAGAAAAAAGTTTCCAGGTTGTATCAATCATTTTTATACACTATATATACCAGTACAATACAGATCTACATTAAAATGATGCTTTTTTTAAAATAAGTAATGTGGTTTTTTTATGCTCTAAAGAATTGATTGAATAGTGGGGGATTATTTTCTTGATTGTTTTGTTATCTTTTTTTATTTTTAATTCCCTCACTGTCTTACTCTTTATGGCAGACTTTAGTTAAATAATTTTGTCAGTACATATGGAAGCTTTTAGGAAGGAGCATATGAATTTCAAAACAGATGTCAGCAGGTGCTGGTGAGGTATCAGACGTGGAGCTAGAAGATAGAGAGTAATGTGCCTTTCTACTCACTACCTAGGCTAGTACCAGATTCACAGCCGATTTGGCAACATTCCTAGATACAAGTAGCTTAAAATGGAGGTGGCCAAAGGAAGTGCAGGTGTGGGAATTCTGTGAGGAGTTTACGAATTCACGAAAACTAGAAGGTGCACCAGTGCATTCTGCTCTGCGTGATTGTATGCCATGACCCTGAGGGATCCCGAGAGCTACATGGGGGCAGCTTTCCAGGGACTGGGCCTGAGGCAGGGGCTGGGGCGAGGGGCCAATAGAACTCACCGCAGCCGAGTATCGGCCACACCGGTGGTGTTCCGCGGGGTGTCCCAGCGCGTTCGTGCCGAACGCACGGCTTTGCCTTCCCAGCAAGGAGTCAGGGCGCTAAACCTTCCGGGTGCCTGACGGTGTGCGTGTATCCCGCTCTGCCTTCCCATTCCGGCCAAAGGTGGAAAAGGCATTTTCGGCTCCTTACTCCTCCCTTCCTTTCAGCCGGCCACATTTTCCGCCAGTCCCTGCCAACCCAACTCATCTCTCCTAGGATGGGAACAGAATAAAAATGTGTGCCCACGACTAAAAACAAAGGAAGCGAAAGCAAAGGCGTTAGGGAAGGCGCTGCGTGGCAGGACAAACCGGAGCAGGCACGGCTCCTCGCAGCCATTTGGAGTGAGCACAAGCCCCTCAGATCCGTTCAGTCTCTTCCCGCACCTCCTCCTCTGCCCTCCTCCTCCGCCGCCGCAGGGCGGGCGGCGCGGCCCTGGGGGGCGGCACAGCGCGGGCGGGGGCTCGGCTGCCCCGGCCGCTCGCCCCCACCGCGCAGCGGGGCGGAGAGAGAGCGGGAGCGGCGGCGGGAGACGGGCCGCCATATTCCTGCCGCACCACGCCCGCGGAGCCCAACCATTTAAAAGCCGGTCGAGCTCGACCCCTGCTAGTGCACTCGTTTCCCTTTCCGCTGTTCTGTCGGCAGCGCGGATAGGGCCGAACCGAACGGAGCCGAACAGCGGCAGCTCTCTGATAGCGAGCTCTGCTTTCCTTCACCACCACCCCCGCCTCCTTCTTAGAAGGGCGAGCGGCTGAGGCAGCGGGAAGGAGGAGCGGCCGCGGGGAAGCTCTTCCTGCCGGGCAGCGGCGTTCTCGCCCACCCCGCAGGAGCCGGGCTCCCGCTCTGGGGGCGGGGAGCGGCGGGGAGATGTGTGCGTGTGCGGGGCGGGGGAGGGATTAGTGGGCATTAGCGCTTCCACGGGGGTGGGGTGGTCGCGTCGGAGGGCGGCGGGGGTGTCGGCGGCCGCCAGGGACACTCGGGGACCGCGCAGGCTGCGGGCGGCGGCGAGGGAAGGGGAGCAGCGGGACGAGGGGCGGCTCGGCTGGGTAGCGCTGCTGCCGCGGTGGATGTTTCCATGTTGTTCGGTGCATGATTTAGAGGAGAGGAGGAGTTGGAAGCGGCGGGTGTCAGCGGCAGGGAGCGGGGATCCGCGCCGCCAGCGGCCCTGCCTTTCTTCTTGCCCCTCTGTGGCATCGAGGCTACTCTGCCTGCGTGCCTGCCCTGCGGCGGCCCCCGGGCTCTCGAAGAGCGCCTGTGCCCCCCGGGGCCGGAGCGGCGGCGGGGTGCGTGTGTGCGAGTGTGCGTGCGGGTTTAGGGGGGGTGGGGGCTGTGTCTGAACCAGTTAGGAAGAATGACTTTGGAGTCCATGATGGCGTGCTGCCTGAGCGAGGAAGCCAAAGAAGCCCGGCGGATCAACGACGAGATCGAGCGGCAGCTGCGTCGGGACAAGCGGGACGCCCGCCGCGAGCTGAAGCTGCTGCTGCTGGGTGAGTGTGGGTCTTCGTCCTCCCGCCTCGGGCCGCTCGCCTCGGGCCGCTCGCTTCGGGCCGCCGCCGGCGCGCACGCCCCAGGTGCCGCCGGGCTGCTGCCCGGGCATCGCCGCTGGCGCGGTCCGTGCTGGGGCGCAGGTACCCGGCGGCGGGGACGGGGCGGCAGCGGCAATGCCTGCGGTGCCTCTGGGCTCTCCTCGCCCCCGCCGCGGGGAGCCGCAGGCCGAGCCCCCGCCGCGGGGAACGGGGCGTGTGTGCCCGCCCGCGGGCATCGTCGGCGGTTGGGTTCGGTGTGGAACGGGAAGAGGCCTTCCGAAATGGAGAGGGAACGAATGGCGGGTGAGTGAGGGGGCTGCGGGACGAGGGGCAAATGTCGATGTGTGTGGGAGAGCGATGGTAGCGAAGCGGATTAAGGAAGGGATTCGCTGGGGGAGTCGCTGTGCAGGTCGATGGTGGCGGGTGTGATATCTGCATTGTTCCCTGGGCTTCGGGAAGGTGTTAGCTCACCGGTTGAATTTTTTATTGTGATTTTTATTTCTGGAGGTAAAGTTGGATAAGGGGCTTGTGCTCAGCTTGCGTACCGGTTTCTGTAAAGGAAAGGGAGCCGCAAAGGCCCAGATGCACATGGCAAGCTGAGGGGTAGCCTGAAGTGTGCTGGATGGTTACAGGATCTTTAATACTGTTGGCATGCACCCGCTGGTCAGGAAATAAAATCAGCTGTATCGTTTCTCCTTAATTAAAACAGAGGTTGCTATTTTAGAGCCGCAAGTATGCGGAGGTGGCATTTATCTAATAGAAATTTGGCTTATCTTAAAGTAAGTCTTTCAAATTAAAATATGCCTCCCCGAGTCCAGTGTGATGCACTGTGTCGCGTAGCTCCCTTGTAATAGTTCCTGCCTGGACTCATAGGCCTTTATGTATTTTAGCCCTACTGTCTGTGTGTGGATGAGGGAGTATGTTCCAAATGGATGTGGGATGTTTACGGGGAAGATGTTTTTCTTGGGCCACGTATGTGGAAGTAGTGGTTTATACTGGGGAAGTAAACTGCCAATTCAATGAGGTAAGGCAAGCTGTAAGGAAAAGTTTGAATATATTTTAGTGCTTTCATATGAATATGCTATTTCCTGAAGGTTATCTTCTGGGTATAGAGAAGGTTGGCATCTGTAACTGATCTGGGAGAGAAGTAGTGGACATGGATGCATCTCTCACAGTAATAATGTTCTGTTGGATTTTGGCCGGATTTTGGGTTATGGCAGTGCATGGTGATTCCAGGATTCACAAAGCAGATAAAATAGATTGTCCTTGCTTAATATTATGGATGTCTAGGTATGATTAATGGTAGACACTGGCTTCAGGAGAGGCAGTTCATACATTTGACCTGTTGCTCAGGTCCAGATTTTTCTTGATTTCTCTTACAGTAGTACTAGAGGCTTCTCCCAGATTTTCAGAAATATATGAAATCCACTGAATGAGACCAGTGTATATTACTTAGAGAAGAAATTCAGAGATTCACTTCCACAATTAGGAGCGCGGAACTTGAGCCGCTTTGCAAGGTCCTCCCACCACTAACATGAAGTATTTGGGTAGGTGGTGGAGTCCAGTTACGGCATCGTTTTGGATACGATGTGGCGATTTGTAGGATAATGTGGCGATTTGTAGAAGAACAGGGGAGAAGCCAACACATAGAAAGAATTAGGGAAAACTCTATTGAGTTCCTGTATAAAAGACTTCTGTGTTCATTGTCAATGCCAGCTAAGAGTTCCAGCAGGCTTGTGAAAGTGGAGGCATGATGTGGAGATCTGAAGGGGTGAATTTTGGCTGCATGTACTTAACAGCACATCCATATACCTGGGTAATAAAACTAGTACAGAAATTGTTACTGTACATGCTTTTTCTCTTTTGTTTTGTCAGCCTCTGTGATGTGTTTGACTGAAAGAAAGAGTATGTGCACATTTGGATTAACACTTAATGATCTTGTCTTGTTCAGTAAGTAGTGAACGACTCTTGGTGTCTTGGTATTTTGTAGACATAGGTTTCAATTTCTAAAAGAAATTTAGGGAAACTTCTTTCATAAGTGGGTTTATCTTATGTACCTTAGAGCACTTTTTTTTTAGTCACTTTCATTGCTTCCCCAGCATAAGCAAATGCTCAGTTACTAAGTTTGTTGTTTGTATGGGTCATTCACATGGTTATGAGAGAGATGAAAACAGTTTTCAAATGAAAATACATTCATTAAAGATGGTGAGGCTGGTATCAGGAAAACCATCTGAACATGTTTAAAATTATCTGATTTTTTTAATACTGAATAGATGTTTACTGTCCCATTTCATCTCTTTCTCCTTCATTTTTAGGGAGAAGAATCACTAGTGCAGCTTCATTTTATGTAAGCATAAGTGAATATGTTTGGGTTTTCTTCTTTTTTTTTTAATCTTTTCTGGAAGTGCCAATTTCTCAGTCCCACTCTCTCAAGTATTATGTGTCTGAAAAAACAAGCGTGTTAAGGTTTTAAAATACGGAACTAAGCCTTTGACTTTTAAAGAGAATATTAGTGCAGTTTAAGCTGAGCCTTGTTAAGTGTCTATGCATGTTCTTCAGAATAGTTGCAAGTGGAAAGGTATTATCAACCTTTAAAGGCACAAACACGTGTATCTGTGCTACGTTGTTTTATTGTTACACTTGCTTAAGAATTAGATGTATGCACATAGGTAGCAAACATAAAGAAAAAAAAATAATCTTTTTGATTCAGAGGAAAAGGATTTTTTCCCTCTAACTCATGAAAGACGCAGTGCCTTCTTGGAAACTTAGGTTCTCTGAATTGTTACTGTGTCTCACACATACACATACACCTGCACATGCACACAAGCACACACACTGCTTAATGTGCTCATGATATCTTTTTACTTTTATTGAAATCAAAGAGCTTAAAGTCAGAAGTAATTTGTGTAAAACTTTCACTGTGTGCTAAGATTATTTTTAGGTATTAGTTTAAAAATAAACACTCTTCGATTAAACATTAAAATACTACTTTTAGGTACTTCTTTGTACATCATTGTTTGATTTTTAAACATATTAGAACAGGACAAAATATTTTTTTACAATTGTAATTATGGAAAACCAAAATCCATAAATATGCACTGAAGTGTATTACATGATAGTAGTTTCAGCTAGCACAACTTGGCTGTAGTGTTTTGAGACACTTTGGAACAGATTCAGTCTTCCACTGAATTTGGTTTTAATCTCTTTAACTCTTCTGGATGTCGTTACTGATGAACACTTTGTAAAACCCTGTGATTGTTCTCCAGAGCGTGCTGTTGTTAATATCCGCCTGTTGTCTGCTGTTAGCTGTAAAAACACATTGTTTTTATAATTAGGGGAGAAAACAAAGAGGTGTTCCAATGTTTTATATTCACCTATTCATGTGTTCTGCATGCTTTTATTTGAAACATTTATGTACATATTTATTTTAAAGTAGTAAGAGCTGTATACTTACATATATATTTTTTCTGTCATACTTCCGTATATATTTTTTTCCTGCCATCCATGTTAATTTTTCAGGGACTCGGAAAGCAGCATGCATTTGAGCCTGCATGACAGATTGTAGCCATAAACCATCAGTCCTGGACATAGTCTGCCTGTAGACTGTATCCATTAATATTGTACACGATTTTCTCACTGGGAAATGCCTGAAGTATCTAAGAAAACAATCTGCAGATGTTGTGCTAGCTGTGCCTATGTGTCTGTAAACCCAGGCCAGATTAGGTACTGGAGATGTGTGTGACAGTGCTATTTTTTTTCAGTATATTGGTTGGTATTGTGTCATGTGCAAAGCCTGGTTTTTTAAGAGTTAGGTACTTCTTATGTTGAAGGTAGCAAATGTGTCAGTGAAGAGACTTGCCTTGATACAAGTGTCTTTCTGTTCTCCCCGCTGTAGCACAGAAACTAGATGGACAATAAGCCATTTAAGTTGGCATGAACGGCAGTCAATCTTATGCCAAAAGATGCTTTTGAACATACAATGATTATATGTATTATTTCTTAAACCTGTGTCGGCCAAATGCAGAACTTGATGTATTCACAGATGCAGACTTTGTGTAGATACAGTGAAGAGGAAATGAGTCTGTTAAGCCAACAGTGGCAAACTCTTGTTTCATATAACTTCTTCAGCTGGAAAAACAAGCTTTTTTGTTTTGTTTTGTTTTTTTTTTTTGGAAACTTGTATTTTTATCAGTCTGCCCTACTCACACTGAACTCTTTCAAATAATTTTAGGTAACTCATACAGTACATATTTACTACTGTAAAATGAACAAATAACCTCTTCATACATATTGTAACTAGATAGGCAGATATCTCTTGTTTAGCAGAAGCTGTTTCTAAGGTCATATAATTTCATTCTGTGTGTTTAACACTTTGATGTATTCTCATGTACACAGATATGTCCATATATAAGAACATTTCTTTTATGGGGTAGGAAAGCACAAATCATCATTTGGATATCAGTGTGATGATGTGAAGAACATATATTTAGAAAATATTTAAGAACATTTATTTTTGGTGCACCATAAAAGGATACCTTGTGTGCAGCCATTAAAAAGGGTTTGTTGCTCTTTGTTACTCGATAAATGATCTACACCACCAAAGTTAATAGGACTTAGCAGAGGGTCTGAACAGTTAAAGAATTCAGACGTATTTAGCTTTATTTACATTTCAAAGAGCCAAGTGACCCTTAATTTGTATGTTACACTGGCAAACAATGTTGAATAAATGTAGGATGAAAAAATACATGCTAAGCAGAGAAATCATTGGAGAATGGGCATTTGAGTTTGTGCTGCAAAATGAAGAAATAATAATTCTCCTCGTTTATTTGCTTCAAATTAGTTTTGTTGTACGGTAACAGCAATTTCATAGGGTAAGGCACTACCTTGCAGTCTCTGAAAAAGGAATCACAGAAAGGTGTGAAACAAAGTAAGATAGTTGTCCAATTAATGGTGATTAGCTT